CCTTGCATTTCAAACTGTGTCCTGAGCAGCCATCCAGTTGGTACAACACCAGCTGAATTCCCAGAGGCCACTGTTCAATCAGGCTTGACTGCAATTATCATGTCAATATTTTGTGCTCCGATATGCAGATATGCACACATGCAAGCTGCATAATACCTTCTTCTCCATGGAATGTTGACTTATGTTCAATGTTCTGAGAATTTTTAATGAAACAGGATATTAAACTTTCATCAACTGTAGAAAATCACAATTATTTGACCTTAGATAGAAAGGTTATACTCTTACACTCTATTATTCTGTCCACTTTTGAGTGATAATAACTAGGGAGTCCACTTTATTTTAAACTCAGAGTGACAAAACAGTAATGGCCTTTAAAAACGCGTTAGATCTTGTTTACTTCCTTAGTGTCCTGTCATTCTGTTTCTTGTTATTTTGCACAAGAGTAAAATGGTAAGTGGTACTGCAAGGTATTTATCATCCCTTCAAAAGATGCAAGATACAGTTTTTAAATTATTTTTCAATAAACTTCAGCAATCTATATTGCTCATTCATATAGCCCATTCATTTATCCTTTTATATTAAATGTATTTGTCATTTTTAGTAAATTTGCATATCGTCGGTCAGTGAGGAATCTATGTCTACCTGTTTAATGTTTCTTCCACAGTTTGCTATTCACAGGAAGTAGCAAACCAGTGCTCCCATTCCAAAAATTCCTTGGTTGTTTCTGATTGCCTGCTCTTCAGCCATGTTTTCGTCAATTTGTACACCTTTAGACAGATGTAACTCCTCATGAAGAACAACAACAAAACTCAATGACAGGTGCCAACATTCAGTTGCCACTGTTTCTTACAGCAGCCTCAAACAATAAATCCACTCTTGCTCTTTGTTAAGACATGCAAGACAGCACACTTGGAATTTAGGTGTGGAAAAGTATTTATATAAGGCAAGTCTGAAAATACAACTATCTGCAAGGGTATCATCTAGAGTAACACCATCCCTATTTACATCTACCAAGTCCTGTTTCACTGCCACAGTTTGATCGTTAATGGATCCTGCTACATCTCTCCTCCAGAAGAAAGGAAGGAGTCAGCTAGACACCCTAGAGGAAAATTAGAGTCAGCTGACCTGTCAAGATTTCATGGATTATAAGAGAAAAAAAAAAGTCTTAAAGGAGAGTTCTCAAAGTTCACAAAATATTTCAAAACCTTTGATACTCTCATCGGAGCCCCAACTCGATTTGAGTTTACACATGCATTTACCTGTAAAAGGTACTTCCTAGCAATTTTTTTTTTTTCCAACTCATCGTAAAAAAAAAAAAAAGACTGTTTCAAAAGGCAGTGAACTAGAAATAGCATGCTTTTTACATAATACTGAGATCAATAGTATTTAAAGTAGCTAGAAAGTATATGAACGTGAGTAGTACTTTTACAATGGCTTGTTTGAAAATACCTGGAGGCTTTTACATATCCCAAAGGCATTTCTCATTTGCACAGTAAAGATAATTTTTTGTTTATATCTGAATATTAAAATGGGAATACAGTTACAGTTACCCAGCAAGAACTGCAAAGACTGCTGAAAAGTAAAATATCATTGGTGTATTACAGGAATCAACAGCACAGCCATAAAAAGGTACCAGCTAGATTTTTACAATTTTAGGGCAGGCAAACTTCTATTTTGGGACCATGAAAGCACTTCAAAATAGCAGACAAATAATGGAAACCTACTATTAATTCCTCCCTATGCACCCCATATTATGCCTTTTACATTTTCCTGGTTTATTTGAGAAAAAGATACTATAAGGAATTGTCTAATGTTACAAATGTAATTTATTTTTGTAGCATTAATTTATCTGACTGTATGGATAGCACTGCCCTCTCAATTTCTCCTAATATATATTTTTTCCTTTTTTTTTTTTTTTTTCTCCATCACACATCCGTGGTGTACGAGGTTGTAACTGAACATTTCGTACTTTCAGAACTACATTTTTTTATTCCTGTCACTGTAATCTCCTGAAGAAAGTCTGGCTGTTGCTTTTGTCAATTTAAAGACTGAAATCCACTGCACAATATCGTTGGCTCATTATATATATGATCTAGGACACACATGACTATCTTTCTTTGATTCTGTCTCCTTCCATTAGGTAGCTGGCTTCTGATCTCAGGTAGACTATAACAAAGACTTGGTGAGCACTGAAAGTTTCTTGGTTATGGAATTTTTGGTGGAAAGAACACACTGAAAAGTGAAGCTATGCAAACATTGGTGGTATACATGTCACAAGCAGAAACAACAACAGGTTTAAATCCATTTTGTTCTGTTTGCACCTATCTCAAAATCTCTTAGTAAGCCAGGACAAGACGGAAAACGTTATCAACTTGGATACAATTGGGTCAATGTTGCTCCTAATATAGATGAGAAGGAAAAAAGGTCTCTAAGATGATCAAGCTGGTTTTTCTCAGATTTCAGTGTAAATTTTCAACTGCCAGCTCTTGCCTGATATAACCATGTAAAATTTAAAAAACAGGCTGTGAGAAGTGCAGATCTGCTGAGTGACGCGTTTCAGGAATTATTTTGCTTGTAACTGTTACTTGGTAATCCCATCTCTCTACCTTTTAAATCCACATATTTTCCCTAGATTAACAAAGACAGAAAAGTCACTTGTCCTGTAATCTTCCGACAGCAGCAGTGTTAGGTGCAGACTCGCTGGAAATCTAATCCACATAGTGAAATTGAGATAAATTAACACTGAGATATTATTAAAAAAAAAAATTACTGCTGTAAGGTAGGGAGTAAGATAAAAACTTTTCTGAAAGGATGAGAGTATGAAGAGGTACACTCATGAAACATGGAAAGTTATAGCTAGAAGAGTTAGGAGAAAATAAGTTGGTTGTGCAGAAGACTCACAGGTTAAGCTGGGCTAGAAATTATTTCCAAAGTGGCAATGAGACAATTCTCAGGCAAAACAGATGAAGTCACATCAATTAAAGAGAAAAATACACACTATTGCTCCATCTTCAAACAAAAGCAACCCCAAAGTTCAAAACAATTCAAAGTAATAAAACTACTATATATCGAGTGGGCTTTATCCAAACCTATTCTAGGACTCTCTGGGGCAATGATAACACCTAAAAAGATGCTGTGGAAGCAATTTCTTCTTTCTTAATTCCATAACTCTGAGAAGCATGGGAAAGGTATGATACAGATGCATAGCCTTGAGTTCACAAGAGGTTGTTCTAAAGAATTAGTGTTCTTCTGAAAGAAGAGAGGACATCAGAAAAATTAGACAAGCACCTTAATAGAAGTATCTTGTCGTGCTTTCACGTAAGAGTACCTATCAGCAGCCTCCACACAAAGTGCAATGCACATGCACAGAACATATCTTTACCTTCATATTAGATAGATTATCATTATAAACCAGATTTCTGTAGCCAGCCTTCTGATAGGCTGAACACTATATTAAAAGGGTTTCACAAATACTTCCTATTATTGTAAAAGAATTCAGCTCGTTATCATGCTTGTGGGCATCAAGGTGGTACCCAAGAGCTCCACGTTCATTGTATCAATCAGGATAATGCACACACTATTATCAATTTCTCTCCTAAATAAAGTATAAAATAACTTAAAACCAGGGGTAACTACCAAGCACAAAAATATTCCTGGACACGAAGAAGAATAAACAAAGATGACAAACTATCTTATACAGACATATAATTCATGAACTCCAAATAATTCACTATATTCACCATTATTTAAATGCATGCTTTCTAACATCTCTATGCTTCAATTTGTCTTAATATTCTGACTGGTTTTATATGCAACGCAAATCAAAAAAATGTTAATAAGCCTGAACACCTGTTTCTTCTACCTTAAGATTCACACGAAAGAGCTAACATTTTCAATATTTTTCAGCTATAAAATGGTTAAGGCAACACAATTTTTTCATGTTTTCAATATACCTGTGCTTATATACATGTCATATGTATACACATAAAATATATATGTTCACATATATTAAATACTATACTTATATATTTCAAGCAGTTATGGCATTTTTTTTTATGATTTGAAGAAGATTGATACTACCATCACCGTCCTCATGAAAATTTGACCGAATTTTATCATGAAACAACTCAGTAAGAATCTGCATTTCAACATAAATGAGGGATGCTATAAATCTGTTCCTAAGTCTTCCTCATATATTAAAATTACTTCCCAAATCAAAACATGCAAGCAAGGCAAAGTACACTGTCCTAACAGTCAAGTGACTACCCTCTGCTAGTAAGTGTACCTGTACAGAGACAGAAGTTATTTGACATCATCATTGGTGACCACATGTTAACTCTCAGTTAACAGCTGTCTTAAAACAAGCTGTAGTTGCTTACACCATCAATTTCTTCCTCTGGATATGAATAGATTATAATACTAGCTCTAGTTACATGATAACACTTTCTTTTTGGACAAAATTTTCATTGCTTTTTGCAATGCAGAAGATGGAACAACACTATAGTGAATGCACTCCCAGCTAAAGAACTTAATGCTGTATTTTCAGAAGTGGAATAATGTTTACTGATCAAGTCCAGAAAGGAAAGATGTGAACAAACAAAACACGTCTTTCAAGATGAAAGCACTGAACAGGAGCTCAAAGGAGCTAGGACCCCTCCTGCCTCTATGACAAGCTTCACAAGTAATATTGGCAAGCCATTTAAAGAAGTTAAAATCCATTTTTCCTTCTCAAAAATCCACTTTTTCCATTTTAAAAGAGGGAACACACATCACCTTGAGAGACAGAATAGACAAATCTTTTGAAGTATAGTTCAACTTCTACCAAAAACCAAAACTTGCAACATATTCTAGGTACTTCTGATAAAATTTAACAATGGAATTTTTGTAACACTTTTTAAAAATCCTACATAGTTCTCAATTAAAAAGATAAATAATATGGTATCAGCACAGGGGTTTTCCTTGGTTTTGTTTTTAGTATCATGTTAAACCTTTAAACTCACCTTTCCACAACCAAGCTGATAGCTTGAGTAAGATCTGGACTTGACACTTGGAGATGTTTCCACAGAGACCACACAAATTCTTTATCAGCCTTACAAACCAGGAAAAAAAAAAAAAAAAAAAAAAAGACAAAAAAATGCATTAAATGTATGCTACAGCTTTTATAGACAAAAAAGTTACACTGTGCATATTCAAAAAACAATTACAAAAACACCCCCTCTATTCTAGTGAAAATTCCCTAAGAGTTACTCACTGTCTCTTGAATACATATGCAAACAGTTCTCTTGAATAAACTAAATGTTAATGATACAAAATTTTGAAGGAAGATAAAGGCCTACAATCAACAATAAATAGTATGCAATGTGACATATAGCAGCAGAAATCAACATTATTCAAACAAGTTTGCCTTTTGCTGTATCGGTTATGGGTATTTCTAGCAGCAGGACACAACTTCTACTAATAAACATTGAGCCTGGAATACATGCTTCAACATTAAGCTTTACCATGCGCAACTATTAAATTTTATTTCAAAATAGAGAGTAAATCAGTCTTCTAACATATGTTCAGCTAACCTGCATCATATAAAAGTTTCTGAAAAAATTCTCAAGTGAAAGCAAGAAAACAACATTCTTCAGAAATACACTTAAAGTTTGAAAAAACTAGATGTCAGTTAAAAGCTTTTCCAGATTTATATTCTCTATTACACATAAGTTGTTATTTTGCACTGGTGTATTTTTATTCCAATATAATTTTATTACTGGAAGCACCAGTACTATTGTAGTTATGTTACAAACAAAACCCATAATGTGTTAATTAAATAAAAAGGGGGGGGGGGGGGGCAGGAAATCAGCAAAAGATGCAGATGAAGGAGAATAGTAAGAAAGCACACATACATAAACCACAGATTGGACTAAGACTAAATCTGATAAAACCAGCCTAACATAAAATAGAAATTAGTAAGCCAAAACCATCATATTGGCAGCTAGGTCTATCCAACTGGGGAAAAAAAAAAAAAAAAAAAAAAAAAAAATCACCAGAGTGCAGCTTAGTCTACCTTTTAGTAGTTTTTGAATGTTAAAGAGAAACAGAATTTGCATGAGGACAATACATAACGTAAACACAAAACCAACACTATTACAGTTATCCATTTCCCTGTTTCCTTCTTCTCACAAGCTTCTGGAACCTAAGCTACAGATATCGCAAGTATCAACAGTTAACAATAGCCTCACTAAAACTGGCTAAACAAACACCACAGTATCTCATCTCTGGACAAGTCTATCTTAATCCTGATTATGAGACAGAAGACATGAGTTCCTATCTTCATCTCCACTACCCAATTTCTTCATAGGTTTCCCACTTAATTTCTTCTTTCCCCGTTTTCTCATTTTTTATGAATAAGAACAGACTGCACCTTTGGTCATGCTACTGTCAGACCATGACTTGAAACAGCTAAAAGCAACGGTCATCTAAGACACAAAACTGCTCAACAGAACTACAAGTTTGATAGGCCTCACAAGAGTCAATAAGGACTATGTACTCTATGATTAGGGTAAATCCCAGGAGCAGAAATTCCTTTTTCTATTTTTGCTATCTTTTCTTTCCATTTGCTCCTGATCAGTTTTGCCTTCTAGGAAGCAGACTTGAACTTTACAAGCAGTATCAGTTCCAGCACACGACAATCACTCCATCTTAATGTTTCTTTTTCTTCAGAACAAGACAACAACCATCTTAAATATGAAATTAAAAGATCTCTCTAAAGCTAGCAGACTTATCAACATTTATCAGTGTATTGAGTCTAAATTAATCTATCAACATCAGTATCAAAACAGCCAAATACATTAAATTACAGATTTAACAGACTTTAACAATAAGTACAGAAGAAACAAGAGATGGTTGTAGGTATTTTCTCCATGATTTAAGAGGAAAACCTCAAAGATTTTTTTTTTTTTTTAAGTTCTGATGTGTCTTTCCTTCAAATTTAGAAATGCACATATTTTGAATTTTAAAATTGCATATGGAAGTGACTAGGCAATTCTGAACTTAAGAGAAAACATAAGAAAAACACTGTGCAAGTGAGAAGTGAGGGGTTTTATGATTGCTGGTTTGAAAAGTATCTTCCTCTTCCAACTATTGTATGCAAACTGGACTACAGTAGAAAGAGTTTGTCTTTGATAAAACCAGAGAAATTTCATCTAACTGCCTTTGTAGGATGTATACAACTTTTAAAGTATTGACAGAGACACCTCATTTCTGGTATTTCCACACAAAACCAAATCATTCAGAAAACACTCTGTAGCAAGAAATGGGGCACACATGGTTCTTTAAAAACCCTTGAAAGGAACATCTGTCTCTAATCAAATTGGGTTAGCAGTGTAAGGACTCTTCATAGCCAAAGTGACCCTGCTGCATGCAAGCAAACAGACAGTAACTAACTGGATCACGGTGCACTACAGTGCAGGGCCCACATTCACTTTTTGAAGAAAGATAACACCAAAACTAAGCCATACATCAAATAAATAAGAAATAATTACACATCAGTATCCAAGTCTTTATTCAGTAAAAGTGCTAAAAATAAGTTCACTTTCAGCAAGGAATCAAGTTAAAAGAGACACAGTAAGCATCATATTAATTAGGTTACACAGTCCAGGACAAAAAGATGGCTATACACCTCCTTTTTAAACAAAAACAAAAAAAAACCAAAAAAAAAAAAAAAAAAAAAAAAGAGTACAACCTCATTGTGTGCTATCACTTTATGCCACTTCACATCCTGGATTTCCACCCATCTAGTCTGAAAGACTATAAAAAGTGTGCACTTTTTCACATGTCCTCAAAAAATGCCATCATCTCCTGAAAACACCTCACCACTCCATCTGAACAGCCACACATACACACAGTATGTGTACACTGTGAATGAGGCATGACCTAGTGCTTCTCAAGCAGAAACAGAACGAAAATAAAAATGTTTTCCAGATTTCGAAAAACTGCTGCAGGCTTCCAAAAAAGCATTAGGATCTATACAGAACACAGATTCAGAGTATTTTCAGCATCTAAAAGTATCTTGTATTTATGCTGGAAGGCCAGCAGAGAAAAAAACACCAAACAAAAACTGACTAAATTATAGCAATAGAAATGTGATTTCTTTTCAGTTATTTAGAAGGACAGAAAGTCAGTAGTTCTTACATTCTAAATAACACCACTTTTGAGTATAAGGAAATGTTTGAACCATAACAGAGGAATAAACCACTATATCTAATAAACTATGTCTAAATAACTTTTAAATAATTTTAATTTAAATCTCTCAGTTAATCAGTAACTTGGAAAACAGAACTGAGATTATAATAGTGCCTGATTTTTTATATCTTTAATACACAATTCACTGTATACTTTTATACTAAACTACTTAAAATCACTAACAAATTAGTCTAAGGGCCATGAAGCCATTACAGCATAGAGAAATCCAAACGTAACAAAGTGCCAACAGTATTGCACCTGCAAACACTCAAAAATCTTGAGTCAAAGTTTCTGATGCTGATGTATGAGCTCAACAGCTTTGTTCAGTTTTGTTTGCCTATTCAAAGATTTGGATTTGCTTACCTTCACACTTCCTTACATTTTCCCATCATTGTCCTCTATACAACACAGAAGTAGCTGTTGTGTTTTCTGCTTATTTATTAGAAGAGCTGAGACACTTGGGCTTCTGCATGACTCCAAGAAGCACTATTAAATATCACAAGAGACACTACAAGCAGCACTGGCTGCCTATTGTCCTGCTCTGTAGGTTCCTGCACACTCCAGGTCCCAGCTGGGTAACAACAAAAGGCAACACAAGAGGACAGAATAGCACAGAACTTTCAGACACGTACTTCTAAGCACAGCATTCTTCCATTACAAAAAAAAAAAAAAAAAAAAAAAGAGGAAAACTATAATAACATAGATTGAATTATTCTTAATGAACAAGTATGTACAAAATATATATGTGTGTCCAATACAACAACAGTGAAATGTTCACATCCCTCCTGTGATTTCTGCTGAGTATCCAGCATGTATTGAGTCTCTGGCAGCCTAGCTTCTACCTAAACTTTGCCAAGCCTCCCAGAAATGGACCTTTTGATAATATATAAAATATGAAGTTTCAATGAATGTTGTACTAGAAACAAAGCAGCGTCCTGCTTAAGTAGACTTCTGCCAAAAGAATAAAGACACAAATGCATCTTCAAATACACGTTATCAGTAAAAAAAAACAAAACATCATCTGCAGTTAAGAAACATCTTTACATAAATTTTACATGGAAATGTACAAAATTCCTCATTATGACAATAAAACATTAGTAAAACGTTGGTCAATTAATGGTAAGTTACCATAAAATGTGACTTTCTGCTCTTTAACATGCCAAACATTTTAATAGCTAAAACCATTTATTTTAAAATTATAAGTAATTAAGCATTTTGTATAACAGAATGACTATTAGCCAGAAATTATTACAGTTTTAAGATGACAAGCAGTTTAAACAGCCATTTTAAGCTCTTGGCGCAATTAATGGACTTGGTAAGGTCGTTCCCTGAATGGTCTTGGGAGCCAAACAATTTCTTCTGAAAGAAGGGCTGCTTCGACTAAATTTGGCACAGAAAAACACTGCAGCTGTCAAGGCCTGGGATTTATCAATCTTCAGCATACCCAAGGAACATTCAGTCTATTCAGGTGTACGTGAAGAGGTCAGCAAGAATGTACCTTGAATAGCCGAGAACTTAAACACACAAGGCAGAACATAGATGTCATTTGAAAGTTAGCGAAAATTACCCATTAAAATTAAGATTATTCACAACATATATAATGTCAGATAAAGACGTTCACCTTGTGATCAAGTTCACACGCCAAAACTAAAGAAACACGAAAAAAACAGAGAACACCGCGTATCCCCTGAAAAGCTGAATTTTCCCTCAGCCCACAGTGAATGTTCACCATCCTCACACTGAGATATGGAAATCAAGAGTACCTTACGCCTTGAATGTGTTCTTTACGTGGCAAACTGGATTTTTCTTACCAACTTTTAGCAGCAGCAAGCTCAAAAGCAGGGACAAACATAAAATAAGCCACTGACAAAGGTTATATGCCATGATTACCTGCAGCAAAAGTATTTGCTCGCATGTGAAGTCGGAAATTTATTAAACATTAGTATAAGTCACAAAAAGAATCCCTCTGGCTTACAAGCAGGGAAAGACAAATATTCTTATTTAAATTAAAATAATTTACTTTCCTTTTGGAAGATAAATCCAAGCATAAATACTGCTCTGGCCACTTGATAGCAAAAGTATGTAAAACTGCATCAATATTGCATACAGTTATTTCACAGAACCACAGAATAATTTGAGTTGGAAGGGATCTTTAAGATCATCTAGTTCCAATTCCCCTGCCATGGGCAGGGACACCTTCCACTAGACCAGGTTGCTCCCCCCATCCAACCTGGCCTGAAAAATTCCCGGGGAGGGGCCAGCCACAGCTTCTCCAGGCAACCTGTTCCAGTCTCACCACCCTCACAGCAAAGAAATTCTTCCTAATATCTAATCTAAATCTCCCCTCTTTCAGTTTGAAACCATTACCCCTCGTCCTATCACTACAGTCCCTCTTCAAGAGTCCTCCCCCCACCTTTCCTGTAGGCCTCCTCTAAGTACTGGAAGGTCACTATAAGGTCTCCCTGAAGCCTTCTCTTCTCCAGGTTGAACAACGCCAGCTCTCTCAGCCTATCCTCCTACGGGAGCTGCTCCAGCCCCCTGATCATCTTCGTGGCCCTCCTCTGGACCTGCTCCAGCACGTCCATGTCTTTCTTGAGCTGGGGCCCTAGAGCTGGACACAACACTACAGATGGGGTCTAACCAGAGCAGAGTAGAGGGGCAGAATCACCTCCCTTGACCTCCTGGCCACACTTCTCTTGATGCAGCCCAGGATGCGATTGGCTTTCTGGTCTGCAAGTGCACATTGCTGGCTCATATCCAGTTTTTCATTCACTGGCACCCCCAAGTTCTTCTCCCCAGGGCTGTTCTCGATCCCCTCATAGCCCAGCCTGTATCTGTGCTTGGGACTGCCCTGACCCAGGTGCAGGACCTTGCACCTGGCCTTACTGAACTTCATGAGGTTTGCATGGGCCCACCTCTCCAGCCTGTCCAGGTCCCTCTGGATGGCCTCCCTTCCCTCCAGCGTGTTGACTGCACCACACACCCTGGTGTCATTGGCAAACTTGCTGAGGGTTCACTCAATCCCACTGCCCATGTCATCAACAAAGGTTTCTAATGGAAACTTAAATGTGACTTAAACATAGAATGTTTTGAGTATTTTACACTGCTTTATTAAGAAGAATTAGCTGGCATTCTTTTAAAGTAATGATCTGAATTGCTATAGGAAAAGCTTTAATTAGCAGTGGGAGGAGTGGCAAAAGCATAACCAGTATCTCTTCTTTTCTTGCTCCCAGGAATTATACATTAATGACAGTTTGGGTATTAAATTTACAGACTGTTTTGGTTTTGTTTACGTGTCTATCATGCACTGTGTTAAGAACAAGGATAAACTGAAAAACCTCCTCCTTCAGTGTAAATTCATACAACAAACATCTCAGTTACCTATAGTTTGAAATCAGTACTCTTTTTAATCTTCTACTTCCCTTTCAAAGAATATTACCTATTAATAGTGTTTATATCATAACTTAAACTTCTATAGCATTACAAATTATTATTGCCTAATCAGGAATATACCATCTTCTGAAATCTGGAAGAGAACACTCCCCAGAACAGGGAAAAAAAAACCAAAACAAAACCCAAAAAACCCAGCAAAACCCAAACAACTTCTTCCCTGTGCCCCACCACCTCCAATAATTGCTAGAAAAACATAGGATACAAACTCTTGCTCTAGTTTTTTCATCAATAGATACCCCCAAAAGGGAAAATGGAACAGTTGGAAGGACAGAGGGAGCTATTGTTTTACTGTTAATTTTTAGTAAGAATGCTATAATAATCAGACACTGGCATTTTTCTGTATTAGAAGTCAGTATTTCAATACAAAGTGAAATACACATGACTGTCAGGCTGGAAGAATTCATACGGAAATGCAAAATACTAGACAGAATGGAGAGAAAACAAAAGCATGAAATAACATGGCTGGTATACGCATTGAAACATCTGCAAGAAAATTGTTAATACGGATTGTTTTGGACTCCCCTAACATCCAGTATATTTTGGACTAAAGAGATCAAGCCTTTAATCAAGCTGACATGTATGCTTTGCATGCAAGCAACAGACTTGCTTCTTGATGTCTCACAAGACTTTTAAACTTACACTGTTGTACGCTGCCAGTGCAGACTCTCTGGATCCTGCTGTGCCAGTGATTCTTTGTGATTTCGAGTCACGTATTATATTCCTAAATAAAAGGTATCCCCTCTACAACCCACCCAGTCCTGCTGAGTGGTCTCAGTACAGAATACTTACACTTCACAGAATCTCTTTGAGGTGCTACACTTTTCAACAACCTAAAAAGTCACTAGAAGCTAAGACTGATCAGTACCTCACAAGAAAAATTAGTGCCTTATATGCACCAAACTCTAAAGATAACATTATGTTACTTTCAAAATAGTCACTCACACACAGTACGCACTGTTACATCTAATTGTTACAGAGATTTGTAAGACGACTGTATGTGATCCAACTAGATTACCAGAATCTCCAAAATAGATGCCATCAGCAAACAAGTCTGTCTTTCCCCACTTCCTCCCCAATTCCTCAGTGTTGCAGTATAAGGGGTATGCAACCAACTAGAATATCTTGCAGTCATAATTTTCTATCTAAAGAATTGTCTGGTGTCTCTGTTGGTAGTTTTCGGTAACGAAGATACCTTTGAATCAAAAATAGAAAAAGATAGTATACTGCTTTACTTACAGATACATGTAGAATATAAAATATTGTGTATAGATAAATATAGACACATACCCTCCAAGAGACTGCATCCTTATTCAGAGTTCTGTTGAAAGCAAACAGGCACCATAGAAATAAATGTAATGTGACTGTGTTACTATGTGGATGCAGTAATAGTGGTCTAAGCAAAAAATACTACACGACAGTAAAAGATGCTGTCATTACACATGATTTCATAAATGGACTCTCAGATTAGTCTATAGTGTGACAAAAAGACAGCAATCCACTTAATGATTTTAGTACATATTCTTAATTGACTTAAGTAACAGACTTATTGTGGCATCAATGGACAAGAAATACAAGACATTTCCTTGCCGGTCATGACTTAGTCAATGAATTAACATCACAGAAGTCTGATCAGTACCATTACAGGAGGACAGGACAGAAATAAACCTGTGTTAAGTGGCAGAGAGAAGTTATCAGATAGACATGGATCTATGACACACAATGCCACCCTTAATGAATAGCTAAAAGTAAATTAATTCCTTTGCTCTTTGGTGAATGCACAGTCAGGATGCTCTGCATGCAGCTGTTGCACCGACAATTGCTTCCTCACCCTCGCCCCCAAGTACTCAACACTGAAAACTTAACATGTGGTTGATGTTTTCAAAGATGAGAGGACATGAGAAAGTAAAGGGTTCCATTCCAGAGGTTAGGGTTTGCTTTAATCCCTTTATAGATCAAGGATAGGACAACTCACCTGTGAGCTATCATTTCAAGCTATAAATACCTAAACTACTTCAATTAAAACTAGCCATAGTCATTGAAGTAATTTGGATAGAAGATGTGCAGAATGGACTAAGACATGAATTTTCTAAGTCACATATCTGTTTTCAGGAAGTTCAGGCTTGGTAGTGTTAGGATAATGGTTGGACCTGCTGATCTGAAAGGTCTTTTCCAACCAAAATGATTCTATGATAAGTGCTACAATTCTGAAAATTAAGACTTGAGTCACTTATTTGAGAGCACAAGTTAATCTAAAAGTTTCAGCACAGACCTCAGAGTCAGATTTTTGTTTAAATATAATACTCTGGATTAATATAATCATAATGCATTTGTGATTTTTCAATGCATTCAGGAATACAGGAATGCACAAGTAGTTTTATTTTCCAGACAATATAACCATATGCATACATTTGGGTATATTCACTCCAAATTACCATGACTAATCAAGTAGAATTTGGGTCCATCATGTCAACTCTGCCTGAAATGACTTTGTAGTACTTTCCAAATCCTGTGAAATTGCAGACAAACAGAAGAATATCTGCATATCTTCTAAGTCATGCACTAAACAGTACCTGAAATAGTTGAAAGAGCACACACTTAAGAACAGCAAAGAACAAGCTTATCTGAAGTCATTCTAAGGACAGCATACCTCCTCCTCAACAAAAATATAGTCCGACAGGGAAACCAGACCTGCTGCAGCTGTTCTTTTCTGGGCCAAATCTTTAATTACAGTGGTAAACACAGACACCTCAGCATGTTCTAGAGGCATCCTCAGTGCAGTCAGAAAAATCACAAGCAAAAGCCTACCTCTCTGCATGTAAATCACAACTTCCTTTACTGAGCAACACCAATCTTTTGTTGTTTCTATAAAAGGTACCTTTTCACTCATGCCTATCTCGTGGCAGTCAGACGAAGTCCACAGTGACTGGAAGAAAGGAAGTATCTCAAAAAGGAGGACCTGGGAACTACTGACCAGATAGCATCACTGCAGTGCCCAGTAAAATTACATAATAGATCCTACTGGAAGCTATGCCAAAGTCTATGCATGACAAGGATGCAATTAGAGACAGATAACACGGGTTCACCAACGGCAAGTTGTGCCTGACTAATGTAATGGCCTTACAAAATGGAGTGACTGCATCAGTGGGCAAGTGAGGAGCTACAGACATCATCTACCTAGAATTCTGTAAAGCCTTTGATATAGTCCCCCACAACATTCTTGCCACTTCATTGGAGAGATGTGGGTTTGATCGGTAGACTGTTAGATGGATAAGGAATTGGCTGGATGGTCCCATCCAGACAGTTACAGTTAACATCTCAATGTCCAAATGTAAACTAGTACAAGTGGTGTCCCTCCAGGGTCCATACTGGGATCAATACTTGTTTAAAACCTTCATAAATGACATTTACAGTGGGGTTGAGGGAGCACACTCTCAGCAAGTTCACAAATGACACCAAGCTGAGTGGTGCAGTTTCTCTACCAGTGGGAAGGGAGGCCATCCAGACGGACATTAACAGGCTTGAGGAGTGGGCCCATGCAAACCTTATTAAGTTCAACAAGGCCAACTGCAAGGTCCTGCACGTGGGTCAGGGTAAACCCCAATATCAATACAGACTGGGGGGTTAACCGATTGAGAGCAGCGCTGCCGAGAAGGACTTGGGTATACCAGTGGATGAAAAACTGGATATGAGCCAGCAACATGCACTTGCAGCCCAGAAAGCCAACCATATCCTGGGCTGCATCAAAAGAAACATGGCCAGCAGGTCAAGGGAGATTATTCTCCCTCTCTGCTCTCATGAGACCCTACTGGGACTACGGCATCCAGCTCTGGCAACCCTAGCACCAGAAAGACATGGCCCTGTCAGCACAGGTCCACAATAGGGCCACAAAAATAATCAGAGGCCTGGAACACCTCTTTTGCGAAGAAAGGCTGAGAGAGTTGGGGTTTTTCAGCCTGGAGAAGGCTCCTGAGGGACCCAACTGCAGCCTTTCAATACCTTCTAAGAAAGACAGAGAGACTTTTTACCAAGACCTTTAGGGACAGGAAAAGAGGCAACAGTTTCAAATTGAAAGAGGGTACATTTAGATCGGACGTAAGGAAGACATCTTTGACGATCAGGGTCGTGGGGCACTGGAAGCAGCCTGTGGACGCCCCATCACTGAAAGTGTTCAAGGTCACATTGGACAAGGCTTTGAGACCCTGATCTCCTTCAAGACATCCCTGTACACAGCAGGCAGGGTGGACTAGATGATCTTTAAAGGTCCTTTCCAACCCAAACCGTTCTGTGACTCTAAGATCTCTACAATAAATTTTAGATTCCAGCTTACATGCTGGAGGTAATTTGAAATACTCGCAGACAGACAGACTATGAATAAGTATCTACTTTATCAAGTGCAAAAATACTCTTTTTTTTTTTTTAATCTCACTCTCAGTTTATCTTCAGTTTTACTCAAATATTCCAAACAAGTATTTTTTAGAAGATCAGATATGCAAAAATTCATTCTAGTTAGCTAAAATCTCTAAAAAGTAAAAAAAAAAAAGAAAAAAAACCACTTAGCTATTCAACAACAATACTTCTGTCTATAATACATAAAGAGTAAGGCCCTTATTAACAACACCAGTACTAATCAGACTCATGTGATTTAGAGCCTTATGGCAAAATATAAGAGTATAAAATAACAAAAAAAAACCACCCAAAGCACTAAACAGCTGGCATCTCTTGGCACCAGTAAGTATGTGGTCTTGGCTTCATCACTCATGAAAGAAATTAGTATTTAATAAATGGGAGCACTAAACACTTTGCCCCATTTTGAAAGAACACTATGGATATCAACAACTTATCCGGAAGAAGAAACGCTAACGCACTCAAATTCTCATACCAATATTTCACAAACATCTAAATTTCACTCAAAGTCAGAGGAATAAGAACCAAGTCAACATAAAACCACATCACTAAGAAGTATGCCCTTTTTAATTTAATATTAGTTTCAATTCTCAGTTACTGATTTAAAAACCTAATATGTATGATCAACATGCATCTCAAGTAGTTTTTCATGTATCATGAAACAGTGTAATGTTTTGTTTTGTTATTTAATATATTTTTCGTAGTTACTTGTAAATAAAGGAGAGGGGGGTTAAAACATCCCGCAAATCAATGTTATCATGGCTACATTATGTTCAATGGGTGTCCTGAATATTAAATTTGTCCAGATGAAAGAATGCATCTGTTTTTCCAGCTAATGAAATATTTTTCATAAGAGTTTGTTATAGCAATCCTACCTGTTATCAATGCCAGTGATACCAAACAAAGTATTTTACATTCCTCCCTGACCCACAAAGCAATCAAAACAAGACAGTGTATCTGTCCACAAAGTACTGTTCTTTTTCTGCAAACACAGTATAAAATAAGACAGGGAGACCAGAAGAGGTCTATGCACAGCTTTTCACAGTAAGCAGGAGACATAACACATGAAACAAAGACTGCAGCACCCGAAGTCCCTGTCAGTCAACTTTGCACAAGTCAATAACACACCTTCATTGTTGTTGTTCTATCCAAAAAACTTTTATGGATACACACAGTCCATCCTTAAGACTTCACTTCAGTCCCTTACAATGAAGAGAAGCAATAGTAACAGCAGATACAGGAAGATCTCTTTCTTCCCCATTATTATTTATCATTTTTTGACAGAAACTACAGGAATTCAACCAGCAAATTTGCTGCAGCAGAACACTTACAGATGACTGATCAGTTCCTAGCTTTTTGACTAATAGAGAATTTTCTACTTTTTTAATCTATAAACTGCATTTGTAAACTGAAAACTATAAGCAGCAGTATGGTTTCTTTGACTAAACGTTATGGTCTGCAGACCACTGGCTGACAGACTGTACCTTCCGAGTCAGGGGTATAAAGCGTGCAGAGTACCACGCAATGGTGTACTCCTGAGAGACCTGTTACTTAGTCAAAGCTATTCATACTTACAAATTCCTAACATAGAAAAGGAGTAGGCATTATAACCATCATGGACAGGGAAAGCACATAAGCTAGAGAACATAACACTAACAAGACCTCCATAAAAACAGTTTATAAAACCGCTGGGAAAAAAAAAAAAAAAAAAAGACAGGGTACTCAGTTTTTGCAGAACACAAAGTTAGAAAGGAAGTCCTCGATTAGGAAAACACCACCTTATATTAGCAGTGAAAGATGCCATGTTACCTTTGAAATCAAAGCTGCAATGAATAAAATGAAGACTTCGGGTTTTTTAATCTAATAATGGGGAAACTGTTAAGACACTTGTTTGAACCCAAAACAGCACTTTCAGAAGATAAAGAGATCCTAGGCTGGCAAATGAAATGAAGCTAATCAAACCAAAGTCCATTTGCGAATAATACCAACAGCATAAGTAAAAACAGAGGACACGTGCTCGCTTCTTCCAACTCTCTGTACTTCCAGCAACACAAGACACTCCACTGGATGTGGAAAACCTGGTCTCAGAACACACTGTCTTGTTCAAAGCAAAGATTTGATTAATTTTCCCATCACAGGGAAAGGATACTTTAAAGAACCTTTGTTACCCTTTTAGTTACAGAATAGGGAGCATGAGTGTCTGTAGTTCAGCAGTTAAGAGGCTAAGAGCTAGGACACCAAATACATATCTTTTGTTGTAGGAATGCACATTATTTTGCACCAAATGAATACAAAAGAAAGTCCCTTCCAAAAAAAAAAAAAAAAAAAAGGCTGCAAGAAGCCAATTGCAGAATATGCTGCAAATCAATTTTTAAAACATACTTTCCAGGCGGTTTAAATAAATAGACAAGATTAAAGAGAAGACACATGAAATATAAAGAAAAATATTCTTGGCCCAGAAACTCCAATCACAAAACGAGCTTCCAGAGATATAGTAGATCATTTCCCTCACAAAAAAAAAACAGAAACAAAAAACCACTCTTGATTTCCTTTACCAGGACCAGCTACGCTTGCAAAAATAGCACCTCCGTCTGACTCAGAAAAAATACAGAATCACAGGAAAAATGAGACGGGGTAAAACACACACCAGATCTTTTAAACACCAAGCAAAGCCAAAAACTCCAGGGAGCAATAAGAAACATAGGTGTTGAAGATTATCCATTGAAGAGTCTTGAGATCTTAAGAGGGTAGGCAGCAGCATAAAAGCCTAAAATAGAATGCAGTAGTTAAAGCAAGTGACAGAGACCCGATGTGTCCTAATTTACTATTTGGCCTTTCCGCTGTCCCCCAACAATTTCAAGCCAGTCACAGAAAGGGAAGAGAGTCCCAAAGGAAACAAGAAAATTAAAAAATCCATGTTTCCTTTGCAGTTGTTATCAGGAAAATTACTCAATTACTCAAGTAATTCTGAACTAAAATTATGAGGAGCACTAAAGTTAAGTCATTTATTAAGTGATTATCAAAATAATTATACAATGCTCTACTGCAGACGCAACAATAATTTTCCAAAAAAAAAAGCATAATACAGAGGCAAACATGCTTTAGATTTATTTTTTACTTTCTCAGTTTTACACAAGGCTCCTCAGTAGACAATTCAGGAGCTTAGGACTACTTTCTTAATTTGGCTTTTTCATTTTTGCAAATTCCATCACAGAATTATCCTATCCTATATAGGACAAAGATACAAGAATGGCAAGATAATATGCATGAGGCTTAAGAAATACATTTTAAAACATTTTCTGATTGCTGACTTCAAAATGATTGGAATGGGTTCATCAAGAAACAAGTAGAAATGCACATGTA